AAACACTTGATATTATTTCCAAAATCAAGTTTCACCTGTGCTTTGAAGTTTTTGAAAGTTGAAAACACGTCTGACTTCTTCTTAATAGGGTGCACCCAACATCTCCTGGAGTAGTCATCAATAAATGAGACAAAGTATTTTGCTCCACCTAGGGATGTTACTGGTGCTTGCCATACGTCAGAGTAAACCAATTCTAGAACACTTTTACCTATAGAATTTGATGTGTTGAATTTCAACCAGTGCTGCTTACATGTTATGCAATGCTCACACAAAGTAAGTGATATCTTTGTTAAGCCTGGAAGTAGCTTTTTCTCCACAAGGACTTTCATTCCTTGTTCTGACATGTGTCCAAGTTTCTTATGCCATAGCATTGCAGAATCTGAATTACATGAGGTAACAGAGGCTTCTGCTTCTAGCAATGTCTCTCCTTTCAGCATGTACAAGTTTGCAGCTATCTTTTCACCTTTCAGCACCACAAGCGCTCCACGGAACACCTTCATGATTCCTTTCCGTGTTTAATCTTGCTAGCATTATTATCCAACAATCCGTAGGATAATAAATTTTTCTACAAGCCTTTCACGTGCCGCACATCTCGAACAACTTTAATTGTTCTATCATACATCTTTAATTTGATGGTTCCCACACCAACGATCTCTAAGGCATGATCATTGCAACTATACACAGATCCTCCCGAGACAGGTTCATAATGATGGAACCATTCTCTTCTTGAGGTCATGTGATATGTCACTCCCGAATCAATGAGCCATATATCTGCAAATCTTTTTCTGCCTTCCACGGTGGTTGACGCTTCACAACATAGAGCATCTCCATCATATGAAGTGTTTGCGGTATTGCCTTGTGGATTGGAGTTTTTATTTAGACTCCAACAATCCTTCTTCAAGTGACCCTTCTTTCCACAGTTGTAGTACTTTAAATTCTTCTTGCTTCTCGACTTCGATCTACCATGTTTGTGACTGCTGCTTTGGCCACGTTCTGTTGATCTCCCTCTCATCGTTGTCATCGTTGTTAACGCTTCTGCTTGTTGCAGATTTACTTGTCTGTCTTCCTTGTTCTTGCGCCGATTTTCTTCTTGGAGAATAGCAACTGCAACGTTATTGAAGACTAGACTGGTGACATTACTTTTTGTCAAGTTGATGATGAGTTGATCATACGAATCTGGTAGACTTTGAAGTAGAAGTTCAGCACGTTCTTGTTCTCCTATTTTACAAGTTAAGGATGTAACCTGAGAAAATAAAGTGTTCAGTGTATTTAAGTGCTCTGTCACTGAAGTAGATTCTGGCATATGAAGAGTGTACAATTTTATCTTAAGGAAAATTTTATTGTGCAACGATGTGGCCTCGTACAATTTGGTGAGATGATCTCATATCTCCTTAGCTGTCTTCTTTTCCTCGATGCTTGAAAATACTTCATCTGCTAATGCTAGATGAAAGTTTACCATAGCATTCCCGTCCATTTCGATCCATTTGTTGTCATCTGTGAAATTCATTGCCTTTCACTGATAGCCGCTAGACAACCGTCTTTCCTCAGGATAGCCTTCATCTTCAATTTCCACAATGAGAAATTTCTCCCATTGAATTTTTCAATATCAAATTTCGTTGCCATAGCTTCTTTTACGGATAGCTCCCACTATTTCACTATCGTGAATAGTTCTCTAGAACCTTCAAAGAATGGGTAATAACTTCTTATTTTCTTATGTTGGAGGATCCACCTTTTGGTGGCAACCACAAAGACAATAAGCAGATATTACACACTCTAATCTAGCTCGATACCAATTGTTGCGGAAGACGGCTATCGGATAGAGCAAAAATGCAACTGATAATTTGAGAAAATAAAAATTTAAGATAAAAGAGACAAAATTTACGTGAAAAACCCCTAAATAATATAGGGTAAAAACCACGGGCAACGGTAGAAGAATTTCACAATGAGAAAAATAGGAATTACAACCTCTCTCGATCTACCAAGGAGAAAACAATGATAATTCTCTCTTGATAAAAAGGAGAAAATAACTCTCAAGAAACTCTCTAAATTATCTATAGTATTGGAAGAAAGCTAGAATGCTTTGGGATGGTTTTGAAGCTAAATGAGCTAGGGTATTTATAGTTGAAGCTTTAAGGACTAATTTGTAAATACCATAAATTACAATGACCAATTGCATAGTTTTACCATCCACATTTTCAACATTTTAGGTGGAATTGTTTTTCAATCCAAACTTTTTGTGCCTAACAATTTTTTTCAACAATTTGCACCAAATAGTTTGGTCATCAATTTGGCCACTTATCTTGACTTTTCAACATAGAGTATTGTACTTACATGGGCAAACTACAAACGTATTGGTCGTCATGATGGTCAAGATTCTATATTATTGAAAATTCGAATATTAAGGAATCTTGTTTGTGAGCCCAAGGGATACAAGTTTCTTGCTTAATAATGAAACTTTTGGGATTTTGGATTTTCATCCGTAAGTATTAACAATGCATACATATTTTACAAACATAACATTTCAAATTTAAGACTTCAAAATAGAATAATTTTAATTTTAATTTTGGTATGTTAAAAATTATAAAATAATTCTATATGCAAAAATAATACCACATGCTTAAATGTCTACAAATACGTACTCATATTTCACATACTAGTTTTATGAATAGGATTACAGATTAATTTAAAGTTTGACATAAAATTCATATGTGATAAACAATTATGTAGTTTCATACATTTCATAATATTTGTTTATCTAATTAGAACTAATATTATTATGGTAAATTACACGGATGATCACTTTTATTAACTTAAAAATTATCTTTCTCCTAAAATTCTCCTACGTTGTGAGTCCAATACCCATTAGAAATAAAATTCTCCTTTCTCCTTCCCTAGATAGAAATTATTAAAAAAAATTATCAACTTTCAACTAATTTACTTATCTTAACCTCTCAAACCTTTCTTTTTAACCTGCTTTGACATTGTTATTACATATTTTAATGGCTATAAGTTTACACTTTAGATATAGTTTCAACAACAATAACTCAAATGCTTTAAACATTTGCAAGTTTATCCCTTCTAATATAAAATCTTAATTTCGTCTCTATACCTAAACAAAACCCAATTACTCGACAACATGCTCGAAACTTGTTTTCCCAATTAAACCAACCTATCCATGCAACAACCCAATACCCATATTAAACTCTAGGCCCAATTACAATAAGACCAAAACATGTTTACCATAAAACCTATCCAACTAACCCAAACCCAATTACATAGCGCCTAAAGCCTCGAGCAGCAACAAAGCCTTAACCTTAATCTTGGAGCCCAGTTACATAAGGAGGTTTGGGTCTGGTTAACTTTAATTATAAAAATTTATAATGTTACAGTATTAATTTATTATAATTTAAATATTTTTTATAATAATATATTAATTTACATATGTATTTTTATATGTTTTATATTATGATATACATATATAATACATTATTGGTGATAGAATGATAAAGCTGACGAAGGCATGTGTAGATGTACAGTATATATGGACCCTCCGGATAGGGGTGTTCATTCGGTTAATTCGGTGGCCGAACCGACCGAACTACCATTTTCGAATTAGCCGAACTTTTTTTTTAACCGTTAATCGAACCGAACCAAACTTTTTTTCAAAAATATTAACCGAACCGAATAAATTTCGGTTAATTCTGTTAATTTTCGAATTAACCGAAATTTTTTAGAATTTTAAAATTTAATATTTTTTTAATTAAAAAAATAATTTACAATTAATTTAAATAATATCTAATTAATTTGATTCAAACATTTTGCATTTAGTTTTGATATTATTTTAATTAATTAATATTGATTTGGGTTTTAAATGGATTTTAAATGGATTGGGCCTCTTAATATAATTATATTTAAAGGTTAATTCGGTTAATTCGGTTAATGAACCGATTTCGAACCGAATTAACCGTTAACCGAATTTCAAAAAAACCTTAACTATTCCCCGACCGAATTAATTCGGTGACTGATCGAATTAACCGAACTAATTCGATTCGGTCGGTTAATTCGGTTAAAACCGAGAGATAGTAGCGTTATTTACTAGGCACAAGTGATTAGGACTGACAACCCGTTTTCAATTATATTTTAAGTTATTAGAATTCTATTTGATAAATTTAATTTAATTTAGTTTTTAAAATCAGATTTATAAAACTACAAATCAAATTATTATTATGAAATTTTCTCTTTTCCCTTATAGTGCGTTTGGTTCACGGAATGTAAGATTATTAGTGAGAATGTAAGATTATCAGATAATAGGATTACTAGGAATGTTATATTTTTTGTTTGGTTGGTTTAGCAAGAATGTAAGATTACTGTGTTTGGTTAAAAGAATAAAAGATTATTGGAATATATATTTGACAAAATTATCCTTATTATATATTTATTTTTTTAACAAATTGAAAAATACTTATATAATATTTATATATTTTCTTTAAAAAATTTAAATTCATAAAATATATATATATTTTTTTTACAAAATTGAAAATATAAAAAGGTTTAATGAAAGGGTAAAATTTTATTTTAAATCCTGAACTTCATATAAAATTTTAATTACAATTTTTTTTGTAAATCTAAAATATTTTAAGGATAAATTTGTAATTTAATCTTCATAGAATTTTTATTATTCAATGACAGAAGAAGAATATTTTTGAAAGAAAAAAAATTAAGGGCATTTTAGTATAAAACGCCGTAATTCAACAATACCTAAGGAAAGTGAGGTAATAACATTCCCGATAATATACACTAAAAAATCAACTATTAATAATAAAACATTACCGAGAATGAGATTCTCGACCAACCAAATATGAGAATATAAGAATCTCACATTCCTTGATTCAAACACCCTAATACTTCTTCAACGACGTCATTCTCTTTTTTTTTCCTCCCTAATAATATTAGTTAAAATACGCCCCCAAAAAGAAAACATCTAAAACCCCACAAATACCCGTAGAACCCTATTGTCCCCCATCAAAATCCTCGCCCTAACATTCAAATCTTGTTTCTTCTCAGCCATGGCGTCGCGCTTTAGATCTGTCTCAAAGCCAACATTCTCTATCCTGAAATCGACTATAAACAAGCCAAACCTTAAACCCAGTCCCGCCTCTCATCTATTCTCTGTTCATCCCTCGCCTCCCACATTTTCAAGGCAAGCCCTTTAAAAACCGCATTTTTAACTCCTGTAATTTTATCATTATATATATATATATATATAAATTGGGTTTCCTTCAAATTCACCAAATTTTTTTGTGCCTTTTGAACTTTTCAGGCCCGTTTCTCAGTTGGGTTGTCTTCAATCTCTGCTGCCTCTCCACTCAGCGGTGTCTTCAGCTCGGCTCACCTCGTGTCTAGGAACCGATTCAATGTGCTCGAGGTCGTTGTCTCAGGGTATGCTTTGCAGTGCGAATCCAGGAGTTTGATAATCTAGAAAATGTTTGTAAATTTGTTTCCCCAATCAACCTTTTTTTTCTCGAACTCTATGGTTAATTAACTAAGAAACGTTGTTTGTTTGTGTTGTCTTACCTCATGGCACCATAATATTCATCTCCAATCACTTGTCAATCTAAAGATACCAATTTGAAAACACTTATATGTTCTTTGTTGGTTAGATTTATATATGTGTAATTATTATAGTTCTTAATGTATAAGGTTTAGCCTTCTTAAATAAAACCATGAGAAACTGAAATGCAGAAAGTGGGCTTCTGAATTAATCAATTGGGAAAGTGGAAATGGTGAGAAATATGTGTATGTGATAGAGTAGAAACAAATTTTGCGGTGCTTGAACGGCTTTAACTCAAGGTCCAGTATCCAATATCATCTAACTGAGCTCCTCAACAACATATATATATATATATATATATATATATATATATATATATATATATATATATATTTGTGTGAAATGAAGTTATTCTGAAAGAGATTAGAAAAAACTAGGTCTCAATCAAACGAACAAAAGAAAAGCCTAGACAACTTAGTGGAGATTAAATTTTAGTAACAAGTGAGTGAGACTAACTGTGCATGCATGATGATTTGCTAAGTTGGGTGTGTTGGAACAGGGGTAGATACAAACAAAGACACTACCTGAGTTGGAGAGCTTGCATATGGTTTGAAAGGTTGTGTACGACTTTATGAACTCTTAAGAAGTGCACTGAAAATGATTGATATTTCTTTTGTTAATCTAATTTGAAGATCGTGTTCTGTTCTATTCAGCTATAGTTCACTGTTTACTTAATTACTTTCTGCATATATTATACTGTTCCCTACTAGGATATATGAATACCATGTACATAATAAATCTATAGCTCTCTCTTTTGATTTACGTTCAGCTTCTGTATACTTAGGTTCTCCTGTTGAAATGAATAATTAGGTTAAATTATAATTTGTGAGATATAGTTTTGTGCGTGTCAAACAATGTACTTGGATTCGTATAAATGGATAGCCACGTTTGGTTACGGAGAAGAATTTGATCTTTTTAATTTTAGTTGCAGGAGATCATCTTTTGTAGGGATTTTAAGGACATTAGAAATTTAGAATCATTCATATTTGTTTGTTTTCCGCAGTTTAGTGGTCTATATTTTCATGAAATGCAAAGATTATGACTTTGTCCTTTTGTTCAGATTTTTAGATTGAAATCTGATCTAGCATCAAAGGCTAATATACAAGTACTTTTTGCCACTGGTTTTTGTTCATAGTTTCATTGTTCTTGCAAGTTAGCTCATAGCTTAAAATTGCTTATCCTGCTATTTGATAGTAGCTGCTTAACTCAATAATCACCATCCTTTGGAATATGTTTAGTTATACTGGTTTGTTTCCGAACCCAAGTGTTTGATTGTCAGATAAGAACTAGCTTTATTAGTGATTCATTGACTTAAAGAAAGATTTTTAGTTTTTATATTGTGGTGCTTGCTAATGCTAATTTCTAAGGGGGGTTTCCCTTAGATAACATATCAAAATTCGAAGGAAGTAACGCATGATGGATGAGGGTCGCTGCTTTCCTTCTTTTGTGTGTCTATTGGGAGTTTTAGTTTAGTTGACAAGTTTTCCTTTCCATTATTAGTTGAATTGGATTTCCATTGTCCCCGATTCTTCGAATTACACAAATGTTCTCTTCAGATTTAAAGCTTATTCCTTGGATTCTCTGACAGTTTATACTTGTTGCAACACTCTGACCTTGTTACTTTAAAGAATAAACCGCTTCACCATTCAGTCAACTTCGGGCTTGGCTTAAAGTTGTGGATTTTAATGAATTTATTGAGATCTATCTCTAAACCATGTCTTCTTGTTTAAAAAAATCATATTGTAGCAATGATAAATGAATGCATTGGTGCATGATTCCATATTCTACCTGTAAAAGACTCCTGGGTGCCCTCAAATTTGTGTTTTCAATGCTTAGCATCATGTCTAAGTAGGTCATGTCCATTATATCATTCATGTTTCCCCTTTTTTAAAACAGGAGATATGATCTCAGATCCCACCTCAAACGGTAAGTCTTCCATGTTACGGGTTTGAATTTTAATCATTGTTCATTTTTCATAAGTAGGCAATCTATTACATGTCACCTATTATTTTTTTTATAACTTTATATATATATTTGGAGGATCTTATTACTATATACATATCCAATTGTGTAGAACCCGGATATTTTAGGTAGAAAAACGAATCCAAGTAATATAAGGTAAGACGTAGGTGGAGAAACTTGAAGGTTGTAAAGAAATGCATGCTGTTTTGATTAGTATATTAATGAGATGATAATAGATATGGATACGGTGTGTCCGTGTCTCCGTCGCTTGGAAAGTTACATTGGCTATGGCGTCCATGTCTCCACCCTTAACTAACAAAACATTACCATGCGGAGGCGCAGTCTCGGTTTCCCTTTTCGATATCTCCAATGGCCCTCAGCCATGCATTTTCTTTTCTTGTATATATTGTAACTGCATGTAGACCGTTGTGCCTTCATGCATGGTCAAACTTAAATACAATATCTATGAATCAATCAATTAAGAAATTGGATTATCTTTTGGCCTGTGTTTCACGTCGTGTTGTCTTATGATGTTTAAAACACTAATAAATTTATTTCATATGGCGTTTGTGTTAATTTAGTTCCACAGCACTTTCATAGAAGCTCAAATCATTTTTTTAATACATTCAAAGTAGAGGGAGGTGAATGGAACCTTGAACTTCATGCCAGCGTAATTTGATCATACACAGTTTATTTCCATTGAGCTCAGCAATTCCCTGGGCTTTTAAGAAAATGATGATTTATCTGAGAATGAAATTGAATTTCTGATATAATCATCTGTGGGTGTACTTTTGGTCCTACTACAAAGATTCAAAATGATTGCATTGGTCATACATGATTTTCCAAAACTTGGTTCAATGGTATTGACTGGAATTCCAAAAGTTTAGTATGTACCAAATTGTTTTTTTTTTTAATTTGGGGTGAATGTAAGGTAATATATATTCGAAAGACTTAAATATTTGGCAATAATCGTACAAACATCTCTGCAAACATCATATTCAAACCCAAGACCTCTAAAGATAATAAATTAATAATCATCCCCTTAACCATTGAAGTGGTTTTGTTCATGTTTAATATGTGCCAAATTGACAAGAGAAGGAAAGGGAACAAATGAGCATGCATGGAAGCCACATATTCAACCACCATTATTTATTCCCCATATATCTTCTCCATATTCCTAATACAAAATAGTCCCTTAATTACGAGTTTGAAATTTTCATTTTCAGAATAAAGTGAAAAGAAATTGGAAGGGGGAAAAGTGATTAGAAAATCAGAACCCTACTGACTCTTTTGCATGCATGCATTATGCATAGATGAGAGAGGGGGAAGCATGTGAACTTTTCTTCTTTTTCCCACAAACAACTCTGTTTTATTTATTACTCCATCAAATAAGACGGAAGTGCAACCAATGGTTTAAACTTCAAAAATCATTTTACAGCAAATACATACGTATGGTTAATAAACAGTGATTGAACTGGGAAGTTTTGCAGGTTTATTAATATAAAACATTGTATGGGATTTCACTGCGTAGAAAATATAAACTCGAATCCTGATGTTGATGTGCAATAAGAAGCTGGTTTTTCATTTGAGTCTCAAAGTCCTACAAGGTGGGAAAATTCGTGCAAAAGATAACCAACGAGACAGGATTCAAGTACAAGCCACAAAACAACGTGAAAATTGTACTTACTGCTATAACATTCTCAGTAAAACTGTAAGTAAAAGCTGCATTAAATGATCACGGTATTCACTTAAATAGTCATTCCCAAAACTCCATTTTGCTTCTAAAATACTATTGTACTAACATGTGCTTTGGGGTTTCAACATTAATTACCTTAAAAACACCAACTTCGGCCTTTGGGTTTATTTATTTATACATTAAAAGTTTTGACCTTATAATCCTATCTTAACCTATTCAAACTATCTATCCAAAAAGGTTTGCATTTACCTTCCGTCGGTTGACCTTATAACTATGTTTCTTTCTGTGGTTTTTATGTAAAAACTGTGGAAATTCATGAATCAGATAAGGATAAAAAATGTCCAATTCATGAGTTAAAATATCTGTCTTATTTGAAAGATTTAATTGACATTTGAACATAAAAATTTATACTTGAACCTTAGGAAAAAACTATAGTTATCTTGAATTGATTGGAAGAGGTGGAAAGTGGCCTTAAATCCTTAACTTTAATGGGATTGGTAAGGTGAGAAAGACTTATGTCTACCAATGGTCCAACGTGGATACTTCTGTATGTTAAGACCGTTTCTTTTTTTAGTAATGAACACACACTTGGGTGGTTCAAATTAAAGCCTTGCATCAACCACAAAGATGTATATAACAATTAGAGATAGACACAATATTTTATTATAAGAAAACGATTCTAAAATTTTAAGAATGGATGAACTTATAAAGTTAGGATAGTAAAAACAATTATTAATGGAAAATAAAATATTTAAAATATATGATAATTTTAAAAAATTGGGAGCCGATATTGTCCCCTCTCAATTCATCTATGGTAACAAGATTAATAAAGACTTGGAGTTTGAACCCTAAGCTTCCTGTATATTGCTGAACTATTTTTAAAAAATAATTATATAGAACGAATGGACTAAATTAATTCGATATAAACTTAATTTGTTCGAATATAAAACAAGCTTGTAAAGTATAATTCTAATGAAGTAAAAAAGTAGTAATTTACCTGAATCAAGAAAATTGGGATTGCCAAACGTAGCAAGGGAAAACAGCTACTCGTAAATAATCTAACCAAAAAAAGGAAGGGAAAGTATAAACTGGAATTCAGAAGCTAAATTAGGAGGTGTCGTTAAAGTCTTCCTACAGTAGCATCCACTACAACAGCTGTCTGAAATCATGACCCATCGGTTGGTGGATCAATAATCATCACCGTTGGATACATCGAATACCATGTTTTGACGACGATGGTGCATCAATTGCTGCTGTTGGGCTCTTACCATTTCTTTCTGTCGCCTTAGTTCCAGGACCTTCCGGTGAGAATTTGAATGTTTTGTGAGCACAAATGTTGGGCTGGCAGCGGGTCGGTACTCGGGCACAAGCC